AATCTCATGGACTTCATCCAATAGACTTATAACCTTTATCATTGATTGCTTATTAATAAATGAAAACTTTAATTGTTCAATGTAAATAATATGATTTCATGATTAGAACTAAGTCTTGTGACAAGCACTTAACACTTCAATGACTGCTCTAGCCACCTTCTTCTTTATTGCCCCCCACATGGTCATTTTACTTGATTGCAAAATTACCTCTCTCTTTAGAACCCCTTCATATTTTGGTGACTCCACTAAAGAGAAGTGATTGCATTAAGTAAAAATCATCAAAAAATTACACAATTAAAAGATATGGAGAGTTTTCCCAACAACCAAGACACACTCATTCCCACATATGTTCAAGACCTCATGAAAATGCTTTAGGCTTCCTAAGAGAGAATACAAATGTTGAAAGATAACAATAAGTGGATGATAGAGGCAATCTTCCAACTTGTATATATCATTTATCGTAACAACCTCTCAAGCTCAACTTGTGCAACAACATGACTAACCAAACCAACTACACAAATGAAAATAGAGAAAATGGTGAATCACAACTGATGCACTAACTGTTGGAAATGCAAATACAATTAATCTCTCCATAGCTAGCAACTCCACCATAGTGATTCCGTCAACCATTACCCAAGGCTTTGTCACGAAAAAAGAATTTTAGAAGTTGCTCAACCATAAGAAAAAGAGTCTCAACTTTTCAAAATTTGACCTTAAATTGTGCTATCCCTATGTAACTGTTAAGCCATATCTTAAGGATTACACCAACCTTAAGTTCAAACAATTCATTGACAAGATTAGGGATGCTTAATACATGTCATAAAGTTTGTAGAGATCTTCAAAATAGCGGGAATAGATGATGACTTGAAGCTAAAGTAGTTATCCAAGTTCTTCACTAAAAGGGCTTACACTTGTTACATCAATCTTACTTCTGGTTTTATAGAATCTTGGAACTAAATATGTAAGATGTGCAATGAAAAATTCTTTTATACTTAAGAGAATGTTACTCTTATTGACTTGAGAAGTGAACATCAAAAATTATGAAAAGATTTCTTTGAGTACATTTAGCATCTTAGAGAATGGGTTCTGGACATACAAGATTCTCATGGCGATCAAATTAGCTAGTGAAAATTGACATCCAAGGTATGTTTGATGAATATAAGGTGCATTTAAATAAAACTATCTCTTCTCACCTTTTTTACTCTAGTTGAAGCTGCATGAAAAACCAATAATACAATCCTTGGACAAAGAGGAGCTAGCCGTTTCAATAAGAGGAACACCCTAACAATAAATGCAATCCAAAGAGAAAGCAAAGAATGGAGCATCCCTCACCCTAATCTACTATCTAGGTGAGACATCTTTAAGAAGAAGACAAAATAAAGAGGATGATTCTCCTCTACCATTCTAAGTCCCACTAGACAAAGTGAGGGCACTTTTTTAAGCATGGATCAAAGATGGACAAGTGAACCTACCTTCCGTATCGCAACAACCAACATAAGAAAAGAAGTCCAACCCGAAGTATTATGATTATCATCAAACCATCGGTCATACACTTGTTGAGTGTCGGAACTTGCACAAAATATTTCACCATGCAAAAAGAAGAAGTGTTGATTGGAAACAATAGATTCAAAAACAACTCACTTTTTACTCATCCATATCCTCGGAGGCATGTGAATGAAATAATTCATGTTCATCACAAGTATCTTTCTCCTTCCTCCAACCAAGCTGAGGATGCATGTACAGCTATCATGGTTACCTTTTCCATTACAAGCTCACTCATCTTACCTATCCGTTTTACTTAATTACAATACTATCTCTCTCATTAGAAGAACCCCTCTACAGAAACAAAATTGCATTACTAGTTTCTTCTCTTTTTTTTCCTTTTTTAATCATATAAATATTTATAAAGTGAAAGAAATAATTTCTGTGCAAGTACAAGCTGTTGATTCGATTGGAACATCAAGGGATGTTTTTCTTTATGTAACATCAAGGGATATTTATTGATGACATGTTGCAGACGCAAATCTAGGTTAGAATAAGATGAATGTATCATCCCTATGATTCAAAATGGACATTGAATATACATGACGCAGCCGTTTAATGGGAAGCTAAAAGGGAAGATTGGTGAATCAACTCCGATCTAGTAAAGCCAGCATCACTCTGGAACCAGGATGGACCATGTGTATTTGCAGAAATGTAAGACAGTAGGCATGGAATTTAGTGATGGTGAACATTGCAATAGCAAAGTGTAAGAAGTACATAGCTGTAAGTTCCAAAAAGACAATATGATATTCTGAATGAAATTAGATGTTACTCCTTTGACAGTAAATACAAACTTTTTCTTGTAGCTTCTAGCCAGGTATAGAGCTTTTATGCAAAATCTTCTCCGAACAAAGTTGCATATTTTGTAGTGCTGCAAATACACTGTTTTTCTTCTCGTTGTTTTTCTTGTCATTATGAATTACCATAAAAGGAAAAACATCCAACTCTAACTTTGTACTGATGTCACAATTCAGGGAGATCCAAACTAGACAACACGAAAGGACTCCGCTATCCTCTTCAAATCCTTGTAATGCCTTTTCCATTGAAGACCTGCCAAAATCAGGAAAAATCATACAAATATTTTATCTTTAACTATGATTAAACGTTATTATTTATGATGATTGATGAGTAAGATAGAAGTACATACCACTTCCTGTTACACTGAATAGGTAAAGGCGATTTCCGGCTGCAGTTGCTGTGATCAATACATGAGGTGGCTCCAACTCATACTGATAATACATTCTGCCATCATGTTCTGCCGTGTTAATGCTCAGCACCTTCCCTTCTACATTTTCACCGATCACCTCTGGTCCAAATGCATTAATCACGATTTCTGGAGGTCCGATCTTTTCAATTCTGGCATTGTCACCAAGATCTATACATCAGAAGACAAACACAGTTAAAACCATATATTGATCACAAAACAAATACTATGTTTTCAGCAGGCATCAGTTACTTTAAAACCACTCAAGTATCCCATGACATCATCCAAATCCAATGGTAGCAACTGTAAAGCCAGAGCCACTAAAGGGATTTTGAAAAACTTACTGTCAGCAAATCTCAGAACTGGTGCAACAATGACAAACAATCGTCCTTCCTTTGAGCTAGCAAACCTCAAGTCTATCTCTGTACCACCTAAATCCGCAATTGATACAGGAACCTGTTTCAGGGATATATAGAATAAGCGAATTGATGAAGCCCCGAGTACTAAGGTAAAGTTAAAATGTAAACATATGAAAACGCATAAGGGATGATAGTACCTCTTCCCATTCTTGAGGTACTGAAAAGGCATAAGGGATGATAGGACTCCATCCAACTCCATGCCCTCCGGACTTGTCATCTGGTCTGCGGTATGTCCTCCAACCTGTCTGAGCACATTGTTTGCTGGTGAAGATAAAGATTCACTACAATGACAAAGCAGATGCAGCTGGCCCTGGTTCTATCAAACTAGGTCTTAAGGGCAATCAATTCATGCTCTTCTTTTCAATGTGAGCTAGGACTGCAGAGTTATTCACATTTTATGAATGCGCCTATGTTCTGTTAATTTCTATCTACAGAAGTAGCTGGACAAAACTTAATCATCTTAATTTCCTGTTACTGTTAATCTAATTATATATCCATCTAAAAACATTCCAAATTTATATGTAAATATGAGTAAACGCTATCTAAGAAATAGCAGCATCTAACGGGACTCCATGTTTTAAGTTCTTTCATCAAGAAATTGAAAAACCTACAATTACAATAGATTCATTTGTACTGGAATAGCTCCCTTCTGATATATGACAAGATATTAAAGGATTTTTAAATAATCATCCCCACCAGTTTAGGAAGTAGTGGCAAAAAACTTTCATTTGTCTTTATTTGTTTCACAACTTTAGACGCTGGGGCGTGTTGCCATATCATGCCAACATAAATAGTTCAAAAAGTTACTAATCAGCAAGTCAAACTGTTACACACCAACCTTGTTCATCTGGCTCAGACAAGCCAGGAATCCTCCCTGCTAGAAGACCTTGTTTGACGACTGCCAATCCCTCTCCTGGAAATCCCAATACAGCCGATGACGCTAGAGAAATCCCAGATACCAAAATTGATCGTCGTCTACTCAAAATCCCCCAGGACTGCTCTTGCTCCTTATCAGCCAAGGCAATTCCTCTTGAACCCGGGACAGCGTTTACGGTTGAAACTCCATTTTCTGGTGAAGATTGAGCAAGACTGCAAGGAGGAGCTACTTGCTGATGACATTTCCATGAAAAGCTACTGCAGCCAGTGAACAATGTTGTGCCCATCTTCTTCAGAACTCAAAATTGGTAACAAAATGAGAATACTAATAATTAATACGCGCCGTCTTCTAAAACAAAAGGTTCAAGAATCAAGAGCAGAACTTCAACCAGCAAAGAAGTTGGTTGTTCGCTTCTTTTGTAATCTCTCTTTTTCTTGAATTCAATAAAAAGAGGGCAGAAGTTTTCTTCGGTATGTCCTTTGTGGACGTGGCCTCACAGCTGTGCATGTTTCAGATTCTTTCCGATAAAATATCTTTATTTTCAGCCTAACACGTGGATTTTCTAGGTTACTACTTTTTAACTTGTCCGAGCCCACAAATTCTTTCAGCAAGAAGAAGAAAACAAAGAGGCTTTGATTTTGAGAAAATAATATATGACTAAATACCTAAAAATTTTCTTAAACTATTTAAAAGTATTTACATATATTTTTATTTTTTTATTATGTTAAATTAAATTTTTAATATTTTATTTTAAATCAAATAAATTTTTATAACTAAAAATTTATTAATTATTATTAATTAAATATGAATATTAAATAATAATACAGTACATTAATATGACATTACGATATAACTCACTATACTTTATTTTTTTACTACGACAATAACATATCAACATCACAAAAAGACAAATAATATTTAAAATAATAATTAATTATTAATTCAAAATATAAATATAATATCTAATTCAACATAATAAAAAAATAACAATTTATTTTGAATTTTTTTCAAGTATTATGTCATAATTAATCTATAACATCCGGCTATAAGAGATTGAATTGAATTTTACAATTAAGCTATATCATCATTAAGAGTTTCTGTAATATAATAAAGTACAATATAATTTCGTGCCATTTTTACAACATTTAAGATTATGCTTCTCTTAAAAGGAGCCAACCATGAGGTGACCCCAAAAAAAAAAATGCTCTACAACCTGAAAGAATTAGTAAATACTAAGAGTCATTCAGAAATTTGACTGCCAATGTCGAAAATTGGAGAAAAGGTGAAAGCAGAGCACTGCGCAATGGAAATGGAGGCAGGGTTGTGCTGTTCTGAGAAGAATTAAGGCAGAGGCATGGGAGGTTTCCAGTTAGTAAATTCAACCAGATTTCTATTCACAATGGATCCATTATGAAGCCAAAATGTCTCCGCTGACTGGTGAAATTGCCTCACTTTCCTCTGAAGCTCCCACATTACTGCTTGCATTGCAGAACATGGCTCCGAGTCTGGAGCATAAACCCACAAGCACCTTACTTGCCTCCCATGGGCTATCATCCCCTCTATCACGTCGTCTGAAAAACAAACCCAAAGTTCAGTTGTTTGATGATGCTGCTCAAGGTTACAATAAGTGGAGCAAGAAGCAAAAACTACCCTATCTCACCTGGTATTGAAGCTAGGTACTCCAAAAGTTCCGGTCCTATTACAGTGGATGGCCACTTGATTGATATCTTTGTGTAGTCAATTACATTCTGAAAAGGTAATTCTACTTTATCGGATAAGATAACTGGAACACATTCCTGTTTAGGGAAAAACAACATTCACATTATTCCAATTGGCCTCCAAATGCGTGTGTGTGTGTGTGTGTGCATGTGCGTGAGAGAGGAGAGAGAGAGAAAGAGAGAGAGAGACCACAAAAAATGACTCATAAAAGCGAAGGGTCCAAGATGACTCTCCACGTGGTGCGAAGCAGAATTTGGCATTGCCCAGATGCTGAAAATATTCCACTCTTCCTAGTTTGTTAGGACCACTGAACTGTAACTCTGGACATTCCAACTGTTTATGGTATCAATATGCATATCTTTACCACAAAATAAATGAGCAAATTCCATTAAAATCAGCCTAATTCATTATTTAAAAGAAAGCATGCTGAGTTATGAGGTTTCATGCTTCAAATCAGTCAACCAGATATGAATCCAAATCCAGACAGTGTTAACAAGCTTCCTAGTAATCTTAGCTGCATGCACACCCACTCACCCACACACAAAGAGCCTGCAGTAAGAATGGGCAACAATATTCTACCTAAATACTAGATACAGGTAATAAATAACAGAATAAGGATACCAAAGCCATAGAATTTTTCCGTTCTAGCACAATATGCTTATTGCATCAGGTAGAACATTAGCCTCAATAGAATTAATAGGACTAATAAACATAACTATTGGCCAAAGAAAACGAACAAAAAACTAATTAACATAACTACTAGATACTGCACATCAAAAATAATAATAGTTACAGTTTGTTGTAATTGCATTGAAACATGTACCCCTTGACTGAGTGAGACTAAATCATCAGTGCATAATCTGAAAGATCACAATATTTCATATTGACAGCAGTTAAAATGTCATAGAAGGAAAACATACCTTGTCTCCATATTGCTTTGAAAGCTCAATCAACTTAAGACGACCGGCCTTTTTCTGTGCCCGGCCTAAATAGTTTGCCAAATACTTTCTCTTTGACAGAGGCAAAGGCTGGACAACAGTAGCCCCTGTTTTAGTCATCCCATCATCAACATTTCCAGGAATGATGATGTCCTTCCATGTATTAAAGGCACTTATGTCTTTCTTATCAGTACGGTCTCCCTGCAAATACACACAAATATTCTTTTTTTAAGAACACCAACACACATATAAGAGAACTTCAATCGCCAAAGGTTTTGCTTGGTAAGAAGGATTCAAATGTGAAGAGAATGAAAATTCAGAAGAGTTCAAAATGGAGACAAAATGACTTAACATTATAACATTTGTAAGATAGGAAAATTTACAGACAATTTGGTAAATTTATAATCTTTTACTCAAACCCTCTTCTTTTCTCTTCCTAATAATTCCAATTTGGAAAGAAAACATAAAGGATTAACTTTGTGGCCTAAAGAGAAAATAACCATCTCCACCATATTCTTTCATCTCACTTTTAATCCTCTAACATGAGTTAAAAATTACGTTCTTTCTCCTTTTCAAACCATCTGTACCCAAGTTACTAAGTAGTTGCTCTACAACACATTTATCAATTCCCCATCTCCTCAAGATAAGAAACCATTTAACTAATAGTTCTTTTTTTCTCCAGTTATATCATATACTAAGCAGCAGCTTTTCATAGTTTTCTGGCTAACATGTAGATCTCAAGTGGCAATTTAAACATAAAAACAATGGGATATAGGCAGCAAAGACCGGACCAAAATAATTTTAGCTGCAAGGGAAGTGAATGTTTCATCCCAAGCAAGTGATTTAACACCAATTTTCAAAAAAAAAGTCCTCAGTTCTAGAACTTAAGACATTTCCACTGATAGTAACTCAATGAATCCAGGAATTCAGACTCTGCCTTCCCCTGTTAGATAAAGAACTCAACTGGAATCATCTAACCAACTAACCATGGTTAGACTCAATGTAGTCAAGGCAGCAAGGAGCATAATACATTTATATCCCCTGAGCTGCAAGGTGTATAAAACCATGAGGTAGAAGCTAACAATATAAAGTGTCTTTAGAGAAAATCTAATAACTAAACGTATCACGAGAGCTCAAACCACAATGAAAGCAAATCTTAATAATTTTTGGTGAGCTTTACAATCAAATATATTTTATCATCTTTGTTTAGTGTATGCATTTGATTTTGCTATGAAGTGACTGGAACATATTGGGGGATGGTTCACTTTGGCACCTTAGCTTTTGGTTCTATTATGTATCAATATTCCTCAAACTGCCCTTTTTTTTCCTGAGTTCCTAAACATTGGCTTAGCATTTGGCCATCATACATTCATAGGCATTAGTGTAATGATCAGTAATATGGTTCCAACTAAAGAAGCTTGGCAAATGCAAAGAATATGACTGATTCTAGTGTTGGATAACCAGATCAATACCTCAGGAGTAAGAATTAGAGAACGATTTATATAAGTCGCCCAAGATCTAAATAAGTGAGCTCCAGCACCACTGCAATCACATAAAAAAAAAAACAACCTTTGCATCAAAGTTAATCAAATTCAAAACCTTACAAAGCAAATTTGTAACAGGCTAACAGTTATACCTTGGGAAAACAAATATGTGGTCACGCCCTCCGGACCTCCTAAAATATGGCATTTGACTCAAAACCTAAAATCAAAGCAACAGTTATATCGTTAATAAACTAACAATGAATAAAAAAAACTTTTTTATCTTTCAACAATAAAACAAAGCTTTACCTTGACGTAAGTTTGATTAATTTCTTTGTCATTGAGACCACCCAACATCCGAACACATTTAACATAAGATGGTACAAAGAACAAATCTGCTTCCTCTTTCTTTCTTGTCCGAAATCGAGATTCCAGTAACAGCCTATGGATTTTGACCTACAGTTTGTTTACTAATAATTAAACTTTAATTTAACAAAATTATTCAAAAAAAAAAAAAAAACAGACCATTCAATTAAATTGAACCTAAAAGAGAAACCTGAGAACCCCACTGGCCTTTGAGACAAGCATTGGTGGAAACGGTGCCGTCTCTTCCGTACAAAAGGTCTTTTAAGCCGTCGATCTCGTTCTCGTCGTAGACGTAGATCTTGAGAGAGAGGTGGGACCCGTAGCCTCGCTCGGGCCACAGTGGTCGTCCTCCGCCGTTCGTTTTGGCAACGCGGAGGTCGGCATCTCGTGATGAACGGTCGGAAATGAGGTTGCAGGGAGGAGGGAAGGATTGGTCGAAGAGTCGTGTGACGAAGAAAGTAGCGGCTATGAGGAGGAGCGCTCCGATCTGGTGAGCACGAGTGCAGGGAGTGTTGCTGTGGGAGTGCGCAGAGAAGATTCGAGGCTTGTTGCTCATTCCTTTGTCTTTCCTAATCTGCTCTTTGGAAATTTCAGAACCAGTCAGTGAACTACAGACTCAACTGTCAAGTAGAGCCGGATTTTGCTGAGCTCAAGCAAAGATGAACGATAGATAGTTTCGCTTTCCGTCTAAACTTCAAAAAGCGACAATTTCAAATCAGTGCAATGGAGAAAACATAATGAGCGTTTGCGGCCATGCCAGAAGATATTTATTTAAAGGAAAATAAAATTTTAAATTGTTTTAGAAAGAAATGAAATTATTATTATTTTACTCTTGATTATTAATTGAATTTTCAACACTCAGCCGTTGAAAAAGAAATAAGAAAAATGAGAAAGTGGCAAATTGCGAAACATGTCATCAACAACATTGTGTCAAA